CGCAGAAGCTGCCCCCTGGCTGTGCGGGGGCTCTGAGACGCCCAGCGCCGGACACGTGGGAGAGCGAAGGTAGCCAGTGTTCCCCGCCCCGAACACCCGTCCTCTCGCTCCCCGGGGCCACTCGTAACCGGGGATCACCTGTCCTGGCTGCCCCAGCGGTGCGTGCCCGGGGTGCTCTCCCCGCCCTGGCCCCCCAGGTGCCTGCCTGGAGGCGACCGCCGCACCCCAGGACGGTACGCATCGAGCTAAGCTGTCTGGTTGGAGGACCCGTTTTGTTTTGTTTTTGGTTTTTCTTTCCTTCTCTTTCTCTTTCTCTTTTTATGGTATGTGGAAATAAATGAAGACCAACCCCAAACGCAAAGGCACTTTATTCAGAGCTGCTATCCCCCCGCCTGCATTTTGGCAGAGACTCAAAGGCTGGCAGAGGAGTGGGAGGGGCTGACGGTGAAAAGAAGGGAAGGCGCCCAGCCAGCCTGGCTCAGCGGTTGAGCTTGGACCTATGAACCAGGTGGTCCCGGTTCTAGTCCCCGTCAGGGCACATCTCCCGGTTTCGAGCCCCATCCCCACTGTGGGGCGTGCAGGAGGCAGCTGATCGAGGATTCTCTATCATCATTGATGTTTCTATCTCTCCCTTCCGTTCTGAAATCAATAGAAATACATGTTTTAAAAGAACGAAAGGAGGAAGGGAAGGCATCAGGCGTGCCTTCAGTGGAGGCTGTTGGCACAGGGAAGCTGTAGGCATAGAAGCAGGGCATCCTCTGTCATTGGCTAGCCATGTCTGGCTTTCTCTGCTTGGTTCTAAACTGGAAGCAGGGACAACAATTCGGGCAGCTGTGAGTTCTTAATCTTGTTCTGGCCATTTGGGGCCACCTGCCAGAGAAGTTACTGTTTAGCTTCCTGGGTTGGTACTAAAGCTGGCAATCTGGCTTTCTGAAAGTTGAAGGCTGCCTTCCCAGGCTGATTATCGTAGATAAGAGGTGGTTTTTCTAGGCAGGTTGCTGCTTCAGGCTGTGGGTCAGAGTTCTGTACATTCAGCCTCTCAAGTAAAACACTATAAAAAATAAGTTATATGAATAATGAAGTTTAAAAACACAATATACTAAACATAAGCCCCAATTTATTAGCTTCAGCAGACATAAAATTACTCTTTAACGTGGCTATTAAAGTTTAGAAATACTTTTAAATTTTTTTTGCTTACCTTGTTACCAACTGGCACTAGTTCTGAAACAGTCCTCCGAGCAGCACTGCCTGAGTGGGTTTTTAAACCACTGAGATTTAAAAGGAATCCCCTAGAGCAGCGGTTCTCAACCTGTGGGTCGCGACCCATGTGGGGGTCGAACGACCCTTTTACAGGGGTCTCCTAAGACCACCAGAGACATTAGGAAGGTTGAGAACCACTGCTCTAGAGGAAAGTTGGTTCGGTGATGGATGCTGCCTCCTTAAAAGCCCAAACATGTACAGAACAGACCACACAGAGGCCAGGCTCCAGAGCAGTGGTTCTCAACCTGTGGGTCACGACCCCTTTGGCGGTCGAACGACCCTTTCACAGGGGTCGCCTAAGACCATCCTGCATATCAGATATTTACATTACGATTCATAACAGTAGCAACATTACAGTTATGAAGTAGCAACAAAAATAATTTTATGGTTGGGTCACAACATGAGGAACTGTATTTAAAGGGCCAGAAGGTTGAGAACCACTGCTCTAGAGAGAAACTTAGAAATCAACGGTACAGCAGTCAGTCCAGTTGTTGGCAAGTTTGTGGTGTAATGGCTAGACGAAACTTGAAAATAAAGAAGTGGTGGTGGAAATCAAACATCATGCCCCTCCCAGCTCCCCTACCACCACCTTCTTTGGTTCCTCAGCACTAGGGCACTAAGCCTCGGGCTGTGTTTCTTCACATGTGTAACTGGAGACAGCTTTTAAAAATTCCATGTACTTCATCCAGACCGTGGACCAGTCACAAACTTTTACCATCTCCTTTTTCTTGTCTTTAAAACAAAGCTAGTAGTGGTGACAGTATCATAGAGGTATTGGAAAGACTAAATGAGAAGGTTTGTAAAGCACTTGGCACAGTGAGGATATCTGAATTGACTGCTGTAAGCTAAATTGTGACAGAATATGGTTGCCTTTAACTGAAATTCTCTGCTTTTTTTTTTAAATTGAATTTATTGGGGTGACATTGGTAAATAAAATTGTGTAAGTTTCAGGTGTATAATTCTGTAATACATCATCTGTATATTGTGTTCACCACCCCAAGTCAGATCTCCTCTCATCAACATGTATCCTCCCTTTACCCTCTCCTACCTAGCCCCCCCCTAACACCCCCCCCTCATCCCTCTGGGTCTGTCTCTGAATTTTGGTTTTTCTTTTTTGCTTAATCCCTTCACCTTTTCCACCCAGCCCTGCAAACTCCCCTCCCATCTGACAGCTATCAGTCTGTTCTCTGTGAGTCTGTCTCTATTTTGTTTGTTAATTTATTTTGTTCATTAGATTCGACATATGAGTGAAATAATATGGTACTTTGCCGGGGTTCTTGTTCCAGCATCAAGAAGGGTTCAGGAATCTGGAAAAGGCGCTGCGCATAGATGACATAGGAATCCAGAGACTAATAAAGAGTCCGGGGACGAGTAATTTTGAAGAAAGGCATTGGGGGTCAGAGGACCTTCAGCTAAAGAAACTGAAGACTACCACCTTGTCTAGGACCCTTGCTTTTATTAACACAATTTGTCCTAAGGCAAGGTGAAGATAATACACTTCAAAGGGTAAGGTTTCAAAGGGTACAGAAGCATTGTCAGTTTGGGGAATAGCCTACGGCTGTTCAGGTGTTTGGCCAGTAGGAGGCAATAACATGTAGATTAAGATGCCCTTTAACTGTCTGGCAGCCACAATCAATTTAATGTATCCTATTCAGGTTTGGGGAAATGCCTTTAGCCATTCCCAACAGGTGACTACATGTGTGACTCAACCCTGTTGAGTCCCCAAGTTTCATCAACCTTTTGATGAAACTCTTGAAATTATGACATGCTGGAATTGGTCTACGGCAGTACTTGTCCTTCTCTGACTGGCTTATTTCACTTAGCATAATACTCTCCAGATCCATCTATGCTGTTGCAAAAGGTAATATTTCCTTCTTTTTTACGGCCTAGTAGTCTGCTTTTTGGTGAGCTGTTAAATAGAATATTTGGAAGTTTCTATAAGAGATAAGTCTCTTGGAGACTATTCCTAACACTGCAGCCAAGTGACCCTTTAAAAATGTTTCCTCTGCTCAAAATCCTGTGATGGTTCTGCATTTCACTCAGAGCAAAAAACAAAGTCTTTCTGTTCTCTGCCTCCTTTTACCTCAACCTCATCCACTACCAGGGATGCTCCTGTCTCATGTTTGTTCACTCTGCCTGAAATGCTGTTTCCCCAGAGAGCCACATGGCCTATTCCCTCACCTCAATTTTGGTCAGAAGTCCCCTTTCTCCATATCTTGCTCTGTGCATCTCTCCCACTGGCACCTGGCTGTTCCTGAGTTATATACTTCTATAATATGTTGGTAATCTAGTAGAAAAATGTTTCTCTGAGTTCAGCAAGCCATTCTAGCAAATTAATCAAACATAAGGAAGTCATTGGAACCTATAGTCTATAGCGGGTGGGTTAGAAACCCAGGTGACAACCTGGACTTGCAGTTGGATTCTGAAGTGAGGGTGGGGGGGGAAGTCTTGTAGGACAGAGCCCTTACTATATGGACTGTGATGGTCTGTCAGGTAGAAGAGTTGAGTTCAATTGTAGGACACCCAACTGGTGTCTGAGAATTGCTCAGTGGTGTGGGGAAACATGCCCCCCCCCCGCCCCCAGCATACACGAACACGTCAGAATTGGGTGACATAATCTTAGCTGAAATCATGAAACATTTTCATGAAATTTAATTGAAATAAGAATTTTAAAAGTCACAGTGATACCAAACCCAGGTTCAGCTTCCTGTTGCTGCAAAGCCAATACTCAAAAGACAGGTGCTGATGTAAGGAAAGAGAGTTTATTCAAGTGCTGGCAGCTTAAGAACATGGGACCCTCGTCCCAAAGACCACCTTAACATGTCCATGCGGGCAGAGGTTTTTATAAGGACGGAGAAGGAAAAGAGAAAGAGTGGGGGGGGGGGCGTTGAAAAATTCTCTGCAAGCGAACCAGCAGAGTCTCTTCTGATAAGGACCTCGAAACTTGTCAAGCAATGGTCTGGTGTGTGTCACCCTGGTTTTCGGCATCCTGGTTCTACACTTGAAGGTCAACAAATCTCCCAGAGCTGGAATGTCTGAAGGTTGGAGTCTGCATCCTTTGAAGTTAGTTCCTAGGATGCTTATACAACAAACATGCTCTTTATCTACAAGTTACATATTAGTCAGAGTCAGCATTTACAGAAACATGTCAAAAGAATGGTGGGTGGGTTACAACAGGTGCACTTCATGTGAATGCACTTGCTGTCCATTTGTGGCTTGAGACACTCCTTACTACCTTGGAACCTGAGTGCCCTCTAGTGGTTAATTGTTTGTATTAAATTTGGAAATAGTCGTACTGCTAGTCAATCAAATCTCAAGGTCGAAAAGGATTCAAAGGTTAGCCATGCCATTAAGTCAGCTGTTCTCAACCTGTGGGTCGCGACCCCTTTGGCAGTTGAACGACCCTTTCACAGGGGTCGCCTAAGACCATCCTGCATATCAGATATTTACATTATGATTCATAACAGTAGCAACATTACAGTTATGAAGTAGCAACGAAAATAATTTTATGGT